ATTAAATTTAGCAGCCGTCACGTATACATTGTACAATTATATATATCGCTATACGTACGTGCAACCCGCTAAACGTCATCAACGTCGACGCGCGATTCGCTTTCGTGACTCAACTTTTTAGCACAAATCGCTATTTTCAGGTACATAAGCTCGTAAAACGACGTCATTTAACGCGAGCTTCCGCACGAGCTTTAAAAAAATAATAATAACAATAAATAATAATGGACGTGGCGGTCTCGATCACGCGAATGGCGAACGAGAATCATCGACGACAAGCCCTCCGCACCCTCTCTTAACATGTCAATTTGTAAAAGAAAAATGAAGGGTAATAATAATAATGAATAAAGGATCGCCTCGTTATTTAGACAGTTTTAGGCTATGCTTGCGCGCGTTGAAGAAGAAAAGCAGCACACCGACGTGCTCGGCACGGCCACTCCTAAAAGCTTTTAGGGTCAGGATTTTAATTCGGATCGGCATATTACGCCGTGCGCGCAAAAAGGGGGAGAGAAAGGTAGGTACTATACTAGTACGCCAACGTGTCCGAAAGTCTCTCTGACGATAATGGAGACAGAAAAGGATTGGCGAGTGAACAAACTATAATTCAATAGCCTCTCTGGACGGATTAGTTTAATTTAGGGCAAGCGAAAAATAAATCAAATTTCGCCAACATCGCATGGACAGTGAGAAACGAGCATCGCATGCGCGCTCGCAGTATATGACCGAGAGAGTCGAGCCTTGTATTGTACGCTACATCTCGCGCAAGTTGATAAAGTATCGTAATTCGTTCTATTCTTGTAAAGTTGTGTCGCTTTGATAGACCAAGGCAGTTTTGATAAAAGTTCGTAATCCAATTTTGATGTATTACAATAGCTCTCTATGTCTTGCGCGCGCGCGCACACAAAAGAAGAGAAAGGGTTTTCTTCGAGAGAAAATTTCAAAGTCAAATTCATAAAGCGAAGGCAAGCCCCGAGTAAAGCCGCGCTGCTATCTTATCAAGTATAAAGAAGAAACATTTTTCGTTCGCGGTATTATTAGCTTCCGCCGTTATTAAAGGTTCATGCGCTCGGCTCGAAATTCGATATAGTGCTGCAAGCTTTTCCACCGAGTTCTTTCAAACGAATGATTTGTGCATCGATTCATTACGGGCGCTCTTTTGTTCTTCTCTCTCTCGCCGAAAAAAAAAATGAAACCGCGCGTATAATTACACACAGCTGATGAACAACTCCGCACACGCGTATAATACACGATCGAACTAACTAGCTCTCTCGTGGTGTGTTTACCCACAGAAGCCAGCTCTTTTTCTTTCTTTTTTCCGCTGCTGCTGCTGCTATTTTTTTTTCTTCATCCATCCAAACGCTCATTGTAAACCGAGGATGAGAACAAGGTCGTGCTCGTGCATTCGAATTCGGGCCGTTTCGCGCGCGAACTTCGTTGCTGCACACGCAAAGAGTATATTATACAGTAGAGCCTCGCTCGAGCTCGAGCTCCTAAAGATAAACAAACTCCGCAACTACATATAGTACATACGCAATCGTTGTTTACACGCTTAAAATGCATATCTCGTCTGGTGAAAATAAATTTTGTCAAACTCGCTCCGCTCGCAATATGTATAGGGGGAGCTGCTCTCGGGCAATTTTACACACACACACACGCTGTAAACTTTCATAAGCCAATTCCAGCCGCGAATGCATTATATGAAAACGCGCGCGAAACCTCTGATCTCGGTGCGTTATCGAACCCCCAGACGTCGTGTATGTATTGTATATTATGTATACTCGTGCTATCGCCTCATTCATCACTCGCTTCTATTTCTTTCTTTCTTTCTTTTTTTCAATCTCATAAACTTCACATATATACATATACGCTTTCGCATTATCATCTAAAAGACATAAGGGAGTAGACGAACGTCTCTCCAGACTTTACACACGCGCGCGCACAAGCAGACTGACATGCGTATATACACTTTCTATACACACACGCACGCACGCGCGCACACATAGCACGTGTTATTATCTGCGCGTTCGTTTGTGAATATATTTACACGCAACGCGTCGCACGCCTAATCATACCGGCGCATAATGTACGCGCGCAAAGTTATATTCTCATTCTCTCATTGTTTTCGGCTCCGATCTCTCAAAAGATACGCACTTACCCCAGATTCGTTCGATCTCGGACTGTGTGCAGCACTGTGTACTACACGCACACAGCGCATAACGCGCGAACGTAGCGCCTTTTTTTTCGGAATCTTACGATCGGCGGTACACGCACGAGTTTCATCATAGCGATATGCAATTTTTGATGTAGAAATTATTGTCGTGTTTTTCATAGTGCTGCTGCCGCAATCGCTCGTAAGCTCGCTATTAGCATCGATCGGCCACTTTCCGTTTTCGATGTGTTTATTGTCTCGGTATTTTCGAGATTAGGAAACGTTTTGCTAATTTTGCATCATCGCTTCGACCAAACAGTACGAGTCATTTAACTTTGATTACAGCCACGGCAGTGTCTTGGCAGAACTATACTTTTCCTCTCTCGATAAATGTTATTTGAATTTTTCAATTACTCCAGAGCCTTATCTGCCGTATACGTAAAATGAAAACCAATAAATACTTGGATGGTGTTACCAGACGCGATAAAGCGTCCAAAGATTATACCCTCCCCTCGAATTCCCGGACGATCGACGCACGAGGCGAGAGCAAGCTACATTTAAATCTCATTATTGACATCCTCGACGCGCGACTTCGGAGGCAGCCAAAGAGGCAACTGCATTACATTACCCTTGGCTACGCGCAAAATACGAACGTGAACGGCATTTTATACATCAAGGCGCAAACGCTTTAGAGGCGCTGTCTCGTGATTTTTTGGCCATGGCTTTAACTGCACAATCGAATCTCGCTTCGTCCGAGACGACTACGACTTCGCTCGAGTATTCTCAATTTTTTTTTCTTCTTTTTGTTCTCAGACAACAACGCACTGAACGCGTAAGAGTGAGATAAAGAAAAATCGTAAATCAAAAGTTGCACGCAATAATTTTTCATTCCTCGTACCCTGGAGAGGATGCCACTCCGATTCAATATTCATCTGTGATCGCACAGTAACACGTACGTGCGTACATATGGAAATCGACGCGGTGCGCTATATACTTTGCGTCGGTATATAATCAAGCATCAGCCGTTTTTCCTCGATTCATAACCCAAGCTAGGCAGGTACATACAGGCGCCTGTAGAGAAAGAGGGAGATATCGCGCAGGAGTTCGAAATTCTCAACGCGCTCGCGCGTGCGTGCTTTAACTTCCCTCGCTCGTTTTCCAAGACCTTCGGCGAATCTTTAAACGAGCGACGGAAACGCGAAAACGATCCCCTCAAGTCTTAGCTGCTGCTTCTTCTTCTTCTACATCCACTTCCCAGCCGTCAACGGCAGTGCAGTCTATATAGGCATTTCGAGTGTTCGAGAGGAGCGACGCGCGCTAGGCGTATGCCCGTAGAGCTCTGGATACGCGCGGAAGAGCGTAACGACCGGAGCTTCTACATAGATTTTCCCTCGAGGGCGAAAAGCAGGTAGTATAAGTCCCGCAACGTATACGTGTATAGCAGAGACCGACGTCGATCCGTTGGGCGCTACACTGCTGCAGCCCCTGCTGCTGATTTTTCCTAATCAGGAAATTGCCGTGAAATTGCGTCAGAAATTGACGCCGGAGCATCGACGCCCTCGCGCGTGTCCTTTCCTTTTTTTCCGTTGCATGCGCGTCGAAGGTTCGAGATCGAGGCACGCGCATACGGCCAAGGGATCCATTGAATTCGAATCTCTGAGCGGGCGCAAAAAGATTCCAGCAGAGGATAGCCTCGAGGCTGATACGCTTGCTCGAGATTGGATTGGATCCACATAAATTGAATTATATAAAATCTGCACTGTAGTTGGGTGTGATTAAAATAAAATTTGTATTTACATACGGCTATTTAATTCAACTCCGAAAACATATTTAATTTATTTTAAGAATGAACCAAAAAAAGTTGTTACGATCGTTTGTTGTTGAATTTGATGCAAGAACGGAAGGTCAAAAATTGAACCATAGAAGAGTGTATGACTGACAGGCTGTAGCATAATCTGTTTGCGAATGAGTCGATGCAAGATTCGAATAGCAACAGTAGTATACTACTATAGTATGTTGAAGCAGTTACAAAATAGCTGCAGTACTTACTGCAAATAATGTATAAGTAAACTAAAACTATACACGCGCAAAGAAGTAATGTACTGATTTGTCTACAGTAAATAAAGAACTCGCGACCGTCCGCTTGGTGGCGCGTTGTGAGAAAATCGCTCCTACAAGTGGCAAGCCACTTCCTACGATATAATTATGGTTCAGTGCGATCATGTCTGTTATCGAAGAAATTTTATATGCAATCGTACAGTCAGTAAAGTTTTAGGGCCTTGATAATTTTTTGTGGCGTTCGATATCTCTGAAAGGGACGGTTGGTCAACTCGTGTTGAGACTGCTGATGTTTCGCTCAGCTAATTTCGCTTCCACTAATTTAGCGTAGAAATATTCGCTAACGTTTAGCGGCGCTCATGACACTTGTCTCACGCGAACTAACCTTTGTTACGTTAGTAGCGTAACAATTTTTAACCGCGCCATATTCTCCTGCCCAACTCCTTTAAAGAAGTTTCACTTAAAAAAATCGATGCAAAACAAAAACAACGACAAATGTAGTGTAAAAAAAGAAACTTAACGAGTGAAATTGCGAAATGAGTCGACCCGCGCGCGTGAGTCTTCCAAACAACATTATTTTTATCAATAATGGATTGTGCAACCTCAGCAGCGCGGTGGTATTTATCTTATTATTATATTTTTCACCTGGATACATAGTAAACGCGCGTGTAACATGCGTCAGTTTTTTTTTGGAACAACGTGTTGATATCAGTAATTTTTCGCGTATATAAAACTATTCGCGTTCGAATCGTGAAAGTGAGCATACGAGCAAAAATTCGATAGCATGAGATCGACGATGAATCTATTCTATATCACAGTTCTGTATATTTTCTTCGGTAAGATTTAACAGTGATCAAACGCGTGGTGTGACAATTTTCATCGTTTTATTTTCTGCAGGTGCCACATCGGCCCGTAGACTGAGAATCACTGGTGACATCGAGGCTGACATCGAACGAATACCCTATCAGGTACATAAAGGCAACATTTTTTGATCATTTTACCAGAGTTTTTAAAACCCGGGTATCATAACCGCGTTTGATCGGCTAGAATTTATTTTGTGTTTTCATGCGCAGGCTCAGATTCTACAACTTGACGTGAACGTTTGTGGTGCTACGATTGTATCCAAATACTGGCTCGTTTCGGCTGCTCACTGTTTCGCGTAAGTTTATTCTCATTCGTGCGATAAATCAGTGTCGGTCTCAAATACGAACGATGAAATAAAAAGAAACAAAATCATTTGTTTGTTGCAGTTATGATTTTGGCCTGAAAGTTCTGACCGGCACGTCGTACCGATCCAAAGGAGGCGTAAAGCACGACATCGAGCACGTCATCATTCATCCCAATTACAACAATGTCACTCGCATCAATGATATAAGTTTAATCAAGGTACGAATGACATTTGAAAATTTACATCTTCTATGATAACTCGATTCTGTACGCAGTTGAAACAGCCGCTGCAGTTTAACGAATCCCAAAAGCCCATTTCCATGGCGTGCGCGAGACCAAAAACGCGAGACGTCGTCGAGATATCCGGATTCGGAAAACAAGGGGTAAGCTAAATCACGCGATAAACGTGCTGAGCCGAGATCCAAAAACTCATCGATTAATATCGCGTGTACAGGACAATAGAAGCGTCTCGCCGCACTTAAAAATAGCCAAAGTTCTGGTGGTCGACGACGACAAATGCGCCAAAGCCTACGACGCGGGTTACGACGAGAAAGGCATGTTCTGCGCCGGTCGAGGAATGGCCGACGCTTGCCAAGGCGACTCAGGCGGGCCCGCAGTGATCAACGGACAATTGGCGGGCATCATATCCGGCGGCATCGGCTGTGCATCGGTGCTGCATCCGGGTGTTTACATCGATATTTCTGAATATCACGGCTGGATAGTGCAACACGTATTTGATATTTAAAAAAGTGAGATATCGAATGAAATTGTCAATTTATGTAAAAAAACTTCAGTATTTTTTATAAGAATTTAGAAAAATTTTTTAGTGCAACTGTTGCACTCAACGTTTTCTTGATAATTATAATTAAAATAAGGAACCGTCAGAAATAATTGTTAAAAATAGACTCACTGAGTGAATTATATTTTTTACTACATCTAATGCTCTGTAATACATTGTTATTAATTTAATACGGTGAAAGCAAGCGTATTTATCATCATTACTATCATTACTATTGTTATTAGATACTACCTACGAATTGGTCAGTGGTCTCTTTGTTGTTGTATCAACCGCTTTGGCCAACAGTAATCATAACTCATCAATTAAATTCTATTATTTTAATGACGCCGTGTCGCATAATCAAATATGTCAAAGGAAGTCAATTTAAACTTTTTTATAACATGAAAGTGTTTCATAATCTAAACATCATAAATAATTTTATTTCACTCAAATCTAATGTAACATTTTGTTCCTACGTACCGAATAAAATTTAAATATTACTTTTGGACCTGTATAGAGAAAAACAAATTATTGAGAATTTTAAGTTTTTTATCCCCTAAGTGCAAAATGCACTATTTTGTATCAAAGAAAATCGTAGTGATTTTATATAGAATTATGACAGCATACGTTGCAACAAGAGCTACTGGGTAAACATTAAAAAAGCTTGGAATAATTTGTGTATTAATAATTTAATATAAATTGAATTACTTTTATTCATACATAAAAGTCACCTTTGAAATAAAAAAAAGAGGTTTATCCGATTTTTACTATAAATAATGCTTGAAATTAATTTGTTTTATCAGAAGCTTAGCTCATTGAAAATGTAAAATTCAATGGAAAAATTTCCGCTAATAGTGCGACGTATACACTCATTTTAGATTGATTTGGTTCGCGGCTGTAGATAACTTATCAGTGTAGTAATCGAATCGTGTCTTCTGCATCGAAACCCGCGGAAGACACTACTACAAAAAAAAGTTATCGGCAGCCATGAATCGAAGCAATCGAATTTGAGAGCAAATTAAGCGTGCGTAATTTATATTTTATTCCACTTTTGTTAAATAAGACACAATAAGATACTCTAGTGACTAAAGTCCCTATTCAAAATTTGTAATATCTATCGGTATTTCGATAGTTGCTATTATTCATAAATATTAGTGTTTACAGGAATTCTCTTGTCGATCTGTTTTTGCAATAAGTTAGAATAAAAAACAAGATGTTGTCAAGGTGACGCGATGACAAGTCTCGACGAAATGTCGCTCAAAAACTTGAGAATAAATTTGACTAACTTGGTTTGTGCCAGGTTGACACCAAACATCTTGTATTTTATTCTAACTTATTGCCTAAACGGATCGACAGAATTCCTGTAAACACTAATATATCCCTATTCAAAATATGATGCACTTGATTAAATGAGGTCTTTTCAAGCTATGTTTTTGATAATCGTGATGATCACATTCAGCTACATCACTCGGATTTGAACTGAAAATAGGATACTATTGTTCAATTATTTTATAATACTTTAGAATAGTTTCTATTTGACATTTTTATATACAAGCCGGATCAAAAAATTATTTAATAAAAATGAAATTATTAAAATTTAAATCATTAATGGAATAATATAAATTATTTCAAAATATAATCGTATTACAATGCCAGAACGCAAGCTTTATAGATTTTTCAACGTAATAATCATAAATGTGCATATAAATGAATGAGGGAATGATTAAATATTAAATTTATATGTATTGAATAGTACGTGGAAGTAAACACACTAAGCCAGTAGTAGTCAAAAAACCAATAGTTTTTACCGATCTGAGTTACGTTACAAAATTTTAATGAAATGGAAGAAGAAGTGTTATTAGCTAAATTCCATGATTTTTGTGATATTCACTGCTACTGGCCCAAAAAATTTATGAGTCTTTCTTGTTTGTACCCATTGATTAATAAGTATGTCAATACGATAGTTAGGTTCATGATAATTTTATTGCTTTTAATATTCCTAGCATCATCGGTGAGCAAAATTGATAAAAAATTTTAATTTTAATTATTAAACATTTCAATTTCGCTACTTGAATTCCAGATATTGAAATTTCATTCAATCTTTATTGAAACTAATATCGATCAGACAATTGTGATCGAACTAGGATTTCAAACTGTCGTTGTTGTGGCTACACTGTACTGCTACATTTATTTTCTGCGTAAAGAGAATGAAGTTAAGAAATCAAATTTTATAATACTAATCATTAATGATATAATTGAGTTTAATTGAACATAAAATACTATGATTGATATTTTAGTTAAGATGTTTGATACATATTCATCCAGTAGTACTAGATTTTTTAGATCAGCAAGAGAAAGCATTAGTAGCAATAAACGTAAATAAATTTTCGAAATTCATAAATATAATATCAAGTATGTATTCTTTGGTGATCAACTTAGATAAATTATTTATAATATCTTTACTTTTTGAACAGGTATTTTTTGTTCTGTAATATTAGTATACTGGGTATTTCCAATAATTAGTCCAATAACACTAGACTGGATTTTTCCTGATAACAAAACTCGTATAAAACGTTTACCTGCTCATACTGAATTTTATATAGACGAAAATAAGTATTTTACTGCTATTTACTCCTTTCAATTTTTGGGAGCATTCGTGCTGTCAATCATTATCAATTCGATTAATAGTTTACAATGGATTTACATATGCTTGAATATGACTATGTTAAAATGTGTGGCGTAAGTTATGGGGTTATTATTTCATCAATTATTTCCTATTCAAATTGTGTTAAAAACATATTTCAATTATTTAGGATTCGTCTGAAAAAAATTGATGAAAAATTAATTTATGAAAAACACTCAAGAATGAAAGATTTAAAATTTTTTTTCACGAGCATCACTGATATAATTAAGATTCATTCCCGTGCTTTAAAGTAATGGATCACTTTAAAAAACATTTTTATCGAAATAATGTGAATAAATCACTACCGTATTTTTTCTAGTTTATTGCGCTCGTTCGCGAATATTCTTGAAGGGGTTGCATTTTTTATAATTTTAGTAACTACAGTAACTATGATAATTGCATCATCATTGGTAAATTGTTATAAAATAGTTAATCAATTAAGAATATAAATAACAATATTTTTTTTAGATGATTATAATGTTCAAACAGAATCCAACCACTTCATTTAAAATGTTTTTTATTTTTATTGGGGGATTATTTATCATAATAAACTTATGTATACCATGTCAGTTACTTGAAAATACGAATGAACATGTATATTACTCGTGGTAAGTTAAATGACCGTAACATTAACATGAAAAAATATTTTTTAATTAATCGGTTGAACAATTATTACAGTTGTCACATCGGATGTTATAATTACCCATTAAAAGCTAAACCCTATTATTTGATGCTCATCGTGACCCTATCGAAAAAAATAAACATCGCAGTTAGCTCAATATTGATTTTGAACTTCGAAACCTTCAAAATTGTAAGTACATACAATATTACAATTACAATTATTATTAAATAATGAGTAGATCGGTAAAGTAACCAAAATTGTATTTTTTCTTTAGATTATTAAATCGTCATTTTCATATGTAACAGCTTTAATATCTATATATCTGTGAGGGGTATTTTGAATCTAATATGAAATGAATATATTTGAACTTCATTAAATTTACATCAATAGTTTTTAGAAGACTTAATGTTATGATTCTGGAATTTCTATGTTTGTTTAAATATGGGGTATAATTTATATCATATTTCTTTAAGTTATTAATAAACATTATATGTTTCTTTACGCACAACATGTGTTTAGTGCTTACTGCTATGACAAAATTAACCGATTAAAGGATTTTGGATTTTCAGTAATAACTAAATAAGCTACGTTGTTTCAATATCAATTTGAAAAACTACTTAATTAAGAGTACAGCTGTAGTTTGAGTAACTCACAAAAAATAAATACTTCTTAATTTTGAATTATGACCTTCAGTATTATTTGTACTCATGGATTATTATGCTGGTCAATTGTTCGCCGAAATGTATTGTGCGAAAAATGAATACAATAGAATATTTATTAAAATTTAAGCAGTCCATTTTTGTAGTAAAAAGTTTCAGTTGCCAAAGTTCTCTTCAACAAATAAGCATTTTCAGATATTAGAAATCATGCGTGGGGTTTTCAATTTTGATCAAGCTACTCTGGAAGTTTTAAATAAAAAAGCAAATGAATTTAGTGATAGGAACTTTTATTGGAGCAAAAAAATGTTGTGGTTGTCTTGCATTTGGCCATTTATGAATTTTCATGGAAAAACAATTGGTAGATTTCTTATATCTTCGTCCATAGCCATATTTTTAGGAATCGCGGTAATTTTTAAACCTCTAAATTTAGTGAAGTTTCTATACTAGATACAATGTTTTTTCACTTATAATACTTTAGATCTTAAAGTTTCTTAAAGCGTTCTTTTCCAATACAAGTCCTAGTCAAAATATTTGGACTGAGATAATATTCCAAATCTTGGGGTTGGGTGCAATGTTAACATGCTACTTTATTTTGATAACCAAAGAAGAGCAGGTTGATGACAACAAAATAATTATAATATAGAGAAAGATTTCAAAAGATTTTCAATTGCTTGACAGGTAAAACAAATCATATATTCTCAACTGTTTAAATTAGAAGAATTAAAGCCTGTCGAAAAGGCTTTACTATTCAAGATGATAAGATACATTTATTTATTTGGACTTTTTCAAGCAAGTAAGTATACTCTCCCGTAATTAAAATTTTATTGTAGAAAACAGTATGGAATGAATTTATTCGTTAAATTTGAAATATTTTGACAGTTTTGTTGACCTCACTGATGGTTATTTACGGTATGGCGCCGGTCGTTATCCCTTCCATTTTAATACGTATATTGTCTGGAAATCACACTTATGTCAAACATTTAAGAATGCAAATAGAATTTATCGTGGACGAGGATCAATATTTTGTTATTCTTTTCTGTGCTGAATTTTTTACAATAATCAATTTTGCATTGGTTCTGAACGGATTGAATATTATTCAGTGGTGCGGTGTAGCCTACATAATTACTTTATTGAAATGCCTTGTGTATGTTTAACGTTCAGTTAATAACTTGCAATTTTTTAAAGATCAGGCTAAATCTAGAATAAAATACAAATTCCCGAATATATTTTCAAGATTTCTAATGAATGTTTTTCATAAGCTTTTACGACAACTATAGATTCAATACTTTGATTACCATACCAGGTTTCCAATATAATTCAGAAGAAATCAAAAAATATATTTGAAAATTTATATTTTAACTCTAAATTTATTGTTCTCTTAAGTATTGCAAAACATCCCATAGGAAAAAATTTCTGCAGAAATCCCGCATTCTTGCAAAAATTCTTGCAGGAATTTCGTGATTTTTTTCTATGGGATAATTGTGATTGAAAAAATTTAATTGATTTAGGTATCAAATGCAAGAGTTGCAGAACATTTATTCTTTCAACCGTCATCTAATGGTGAAAAAAGAAATATATAAAATGGCGTCTAAAGAAGTAACTGAAATGATTAAAAATCATCAGCATATTATAGAGTTGGGTATCATAAATGAAAAATAGTTTAGCCATGGTTAAAAACGTTTGATTTTCTAGCTCATACTAGTCAATGCAAATTAAATTAATTTCATTTCTTGTTTTAAAATAAATATTGTTCATATGAAATTTTTTTAAAAAGTTCATAAATTTATATTGTAGAATAATGGAACTATTCAATCAAATAGCCAGCCCACTCATGATCGTAATATTAACTCTAGTATCAATGTGCCTTGTTATTTCTGCTTTTTGGGTACGGAATGATGTTTAATTTTATGTAGCCGTATTGTTAAAACCTTGTTTTTCTTACTTATTGGATTAGATGGTGATTTTATCAAAAACAGACACGGCTGAAACTTTCAGAATGTTTTGTGCATTTTCTTTGGCAAATATTTCTTTATTTTTCATCTGCTTACCGAGCCAAATTGTAGTGGATACCAACACTTACGTATATAACTCATGGTAAAGCTTTTACTCTGAATTATGAAAAGCTAATTAATCATTTTTTATCAACAGTAAAAAAAATTTAGTTACAGTTGCAATTGGTATGATTATCCAACAAAATCACGAAAATACTTTCAATTATTTATTTTGAGATTATCGAAAACTTTAGTGGTTCCAGCTGGACCATTAGCCAAATTAAACTTCGAGACGTACGGAAATGTGAGTAAAATCATATTATTATAATTCATGCTACATATAATAATCAAACTTTAATTAATTGTTTTTGGTCAATTCGTCAATTCATTATCATAATGTTTTAGATTATAAAAACATCTTTGTCGTATACAACAGCTTTAATGTCGATATATCTATAATATATTCGTTATTATTAATGGTAATCTCAGAAATGATTTATTTGTAGCATTCGGAACGTTTAGTAACTGAAATTTTGGAAATTTTATTTGAACCAATCTCTGGTATTGGTTGGAAAGAATTTATCTTACTCGGAATCTCAATTATCAGATGAATTTTCAGTGTATTTTTACGGTAGTATGAGCCGTTTCCAACTGTGTAAAGCTCAGAGTAAAATTGAATAAATAAAATATTATACATACAGTAGTTATAATAGTAAAAAAACAATAATATTCAAACTATAGCATTTTCATTTTCAAGGGCTCCTACGATAAACAAATAAAATTCCGAAAAATTAAGAGATTCGGAGCTATTTCGACAGAAATTTAATATTACTCCGTGGATCTTCAAATAAGTCGTCGAAAATAATTTTTCGTTATTTATTTTATTGCGCTAAAAAAATCGAGAAAAAGAATGTACTGTCAAGAGTAATTATCGCGGCGGATGCACGTGCGTGCGCTCGCGCGTACGTTGGGCTGTATAGCTGTTATACGCGCGAGCACACGCATCTACTGACGAAACGCACCTGCTGCTTCTGCCTGCGCCTACATGCCGCATTACACTTACACTTGCGCTTGGCCCTACTTTTTCGCGTCGTAGCGCGTCCTCAACGTTCCCCCTTGCTCGGCGGCATGGTCGTTTCCTTTCAACCGGCTCTCCGATGTACCTACATAAACACAACGAGCGAAGTCATTACTACTACTACTACTACTACTACTACTACGAGGCCCTACGTTACAGCGTTATAGATCATCATCATCATCAGGTGTGCGCGAGGCTCGTTGAATATTATACGCGACTGTATGGCACAGCGCAGGGCAGTTATACATAATACGAGTAACGCTCGCTTATACAGGAAATAAAGCAGGTTTTTTTCCTGTGTGTATATACCTTCGCGCGCGCGAGAAGGAGATACGCCTGAAGAAACGAAATGCAAATTATTGCTCCGCGCGCGGGCTCCGATGATAAAATAATCGCTTGTAACGTCAGAGCCCGAGATGCCGTCGAAGGGGCAGGTTGGTTGTGTGTGCGCTAGCTAGCGTTGCAATGATTCGCCGCTTCGACGAAGTAAAGGGATTTTATCTAGTGACGCGATCGATGACGCATCGATTTATGTACTCTCGCGCTCGCTCGAGCTCTTTAAGGTTTCGACGCTCTTACGTGTTGTTATATCGACCGCGTGTTTAATGCGCTCGCAAAATCTCGATCAACGCTGCGATAAAAAGGCGAAAAGAGAGGCCCGAGTGCAGTAAATTCTCGCGAACGTGTATTCCGAAATAGTTGCAGCTATTTTCGTATAAGGCAGAATTTCGCTTAATATTCCCGTGTCGAGTGCATAGGAGAGCTAGAGAGAGAGAGAGACCCTCTCACGGTGTGCAGTAAAATCTGCCTTGGTTCAACGACCTTCAATATTGATTCCAATAATTTCTCAACCCCTTTCGTACACGTGACTGTGGTGGTGGTGGTAGTGGCGATGGTCGCTCTCCTCTTTATCTCCCTCTATTTCTGCATTTAAAACAATCCCTAACATACCTCAGCCGATCGATTATCCATATAAAAACCCATGCTACGACGACGAGACCGGGCGAAATCTATGCAATACGTGTACTAAAGCTCGGCAGAGCACGACTCACACGTGCCTTCCATTAGTTGACTTTCATTATTAAAATATCGCTCGCGCGCGCGCGCGGCTTTTGAAAAATGCAAAGGTATGCGAGGTGTGGAGTGTACGTGAACCACGCGCGCGCGCGTGCTATCGAACTTATAGGCGCACTTGATCGAATTTTATTGACACGACGACGTGTTTTATATGCTGTACAGCCGAGGGAAGACTCTACTCGATGGTCGAGATTTTTTTGCAAACGCTTTTACAAAGATTACTCCGGCGTCGTGTGCGCCGCTAAGGGGTGAATAACCCTCGCATCCCGTGTGTACGATATACCTAGTATATGTATTCAACCTGTGCAGTAGACGCGAACTGGGTATATAGACACACATCGTAGAAGTGACTGATGAAAAAAAAAATACCAGCAAGAGAGAAGATACATACGCACGAGGTGTCAAAGAGCTGTAGCTACGTGTAGATGTGTGTGTGTGTGTGTGTGTGTACATAAACAAACCGCTCTGAACTCTCGTGTGTATTTTCTGCGCGCTGTACCTACACTGCACGTTGGGAATCACTACTTCGTCGATGTCATGTATACAGAAAAAATAGAAAGAGGCCAAAACGTCAGGGAACTTTTGTTGATATCACTTGTATACGTACGACGACAACAAATATCGATACACATACACGTACACACACACGAGAGTCATTGGCGCGCGAGAGAGAAACGATCGATTATTTTCCGATCGACTACTCGTTCTTACACACTTTGCTCTTATAAGCTATTTGTTGCGAGATCGTCGCGCGTGTATATATGCAGTCATTGTGGTGTTTCACTTGAGAGCTGCTGCCACTGCTGCTGTGTGAGGCCAAAGTTTCAAGTTTTTGCGCAACACCATATGGGCACTGCTGCTGGTGCTGGTGTGTGCGTTAGAAAAATAGCAATTCAGGATAATACGATAGATACCACCGAGAGGTATAAGAACTGGCTCGTATAGTCTGGCGAAAAAAAAACCCTCGCGAGAACAGTCTCGTACATGCACCTACTCGCGACGAAGATTTTTATAATAATAAATAATAAGGTGCAATAATGAATGTGCGCGCGGTTGGCTCTCGCATGCGTGACCCGCGCGTTTATTTCGACTGTAATTTTCTCAGCTCGTACCGCTGCTGCTGAATGTCCATTGTTGAATTCTTCGAATTAATTTTGCCGCGGAGCGAAGCGAAATATTTTCAGCCGAGATTTAGACGTATATCGTCGAAAAACTGACTGTATTTTAATACAGTTTTTGGACAAAGCGAAGAAAAAAAAAATATTTGCGGCTTCATTTTAAAAACATATACACGTATATCCGACACACAAAAGTTGGTAACTGGGACGTATACACGTTGCATCTTTTTTTCCACCGCACCAGAGCCAAACTTTTCATTTACGGCGCGCGCGAATCTTTGGTCTAAATTGAATGCGGACTAGGACGCGCGGCGGTGGTGGTGCATACATACACGGAAAAGCGCAGGCTTGCAGTGACTAAAAAGAAAACCAGTCGTTGTCGTCGTCGTCGTCGCTTATGTGCACATGCATGTATACTAGTATTATAAGCGCGCTCTCGTATGTGCACACATGTAAAATCGACGCTCGCGACCTGCGTTGTCGCCTTCTTGCGAAAACTGGTTTCTCTCTCTCTCTCTTACTCCAGCAGCGCGCAGCGTAGTATACGTTTAATGGACGGTATATTATGTAGATATGCCGAAGCTATCCTTGAATATGCTTTTTAATTTTTTTTTCTTTGCCTTTTTTTCGGGACTCGCGCAAACGTATTTCTATCGAATACGTTTGTTGACTTTACGAACTTGTGTTCAATGGAAAAAGTAAAAAGGCGAAAATTCCAAAACTGCGGAAACACGACACGAAAAGAATCTTAATACGACGTCCGCGGACCATGAAAAATAGTCGATTATGTAAATGATATTTGCAGAAGTATAAAAAAATCAATCTCTCCGATGACAAATAAAAATCATCGAATGCAAATTTATCATTAATTTACATGTAAAAATCGTCAAGAATCAAATGAACCGAGAGACTTCGCGGACAGATCTTTTATTTACCGCATTCGTGTGCGCGCTTATCTCTATTTTCCCTCATTGTAGTACGATGCACTCACGTGGCACGTATGTGTATGCGTGTATATGTGCCGCATTCTTCTTATATTCGTGTGAATGGCTCGGCGACAACAACGACGTTGACTAGACGCCGCCTCGCGCGCCGCGCACATTCATCAACGCGCGGAGATTTTAGCGCTGTTCTGCTGCTGCTGCTGCTGCTGCTGCTGCTGCATGCACATAGCCTGCCTGCGCCTAAAAAGAAAAGTAAAAAGTTTCTCGTAGGTCGAAAATAGTTTTTCCCTTGCGCCGTTAGCGAGAGGCGACTCCGGCGTCAACCCTCTTTTCGGCACAGAGAAAGAGAGCGAGAGAGGGAAGAGTGAGTATAATTCCGCACTCAAATGCTCGGCAAAGGAGTGAGCTCTGTATAGTGTCGCGCGCGAGAGGTCGCGCAGCAGCCGAGAGAGAGAGAAAAGAAAAAAGAGCCTGCCTGTGAATGCTGATTACGTTCGTACGACGACCCCGCAAAAGAGAGAGAGAGAGAGAGAGATGGTGCGGCTGTATGCACGCGACGACGACGACGACGACGACGACGATGTGGATCGTGGCAGACGGATCGTTACACGTGATTTTTCAGCTGTATATGCGACGATGTGTACGTAATGTTGTTCACATCGAGCCTTTTAATTTGTTTCTGTGTGTATATGTCAGAAATCTCGAGGTGAAACTTTTTCAAAACTTTACGAGCGCGGTACGTACCCGATGCGCCTTTGACTAATTATGATCCGACCTCGGCCGTATAACGAGTAGAGATGGATTAAAGCTTCATTTCGATGTTTTTTTTTGTCGATCCCTTGAATTTCGAAATAACGTACGATTTTGCTTTTTGAGTAATTGTACGAGCAAGTAATCCAAGTAATACAAAGTGTTCGGAGTGTTTTATAAAAACAGAATTATTTGGAAATTGATTTTTGAGATCAATCTAGATTAATTAGCATACATTTCCATGATCCATAGACAGTCGCGGGCACAAGTGCGCATGAATTTCATAACAAACCTCGCTCGTTTTGCCATTTCAAAGTCAAGTCATTAACATAATTACCTGTAACGTAGTGGTAACTTTTTTTTTCGCGTAACAATTAATTTTATCGATATTAACGCGCGCCTCGCGCGATGTATACACTCACGAAATCACGGTCTGGTTATTTTAGCATGATTTTTTTAATGCGTAATACAAGACACGCGCGTGCGAGTATCAATGACCTTTTTCAGTTTGATAAAAGTAACGGGGAC